GGAGCAAAAGCCACCATCTTGATAAAATGCCAGGCTAAATGTCTCATGGAGAGAAGTCTTCAGCGCAATCTAATTGACCCCATTTAGCACTGTAATAGAGGAGTGGAGAATGTGCTGGGCCACAGGTGAGAAAAGGTCATTCAGGCTCCAGCGGGTCGCCAGCACGGCTGATGCGCAGAGTCAGAGATGCTTTTAGGGAGAAGAATCTTCCTTCAAGCACTGGAAGTCCGGCCCAAAGGAAGAGAACCGCCGGGGCCACACGCTTGCACAAGGAGGAGGCAAGCAGACCAGCCCCGAAACAGTCTGAGCAGCAAGCAGCTGGCAGCGTCGAGGCTAACGGGAACGCGATCCGAAGAAAGGAAGAGGTGAAGGAAGCGGTTGGCCGCTGGATGACGATGGAATTAGAGGAGCATCAAGAGGGAGGAGGGGGTTGCGGAGAAGCTGAGTGGATTCTTTTCGTGGGTCTTTTCGTGGGTCTTCCCAGCAGAGGATGGCAAGCAGGTGCTTGTCCTGAGCATACGGATTCCTGAAGGGAGTCCGAGGAATTCGGGCAGACAGGAGTGACAAGAGACGAAATTCAGCTTTACTGACAAGCTGAAGGTCAGCCAGTCACCCGGTCCAGGTGGTTTCCATCCTAGACTTACCAAAGAACTCAAGCATGTAACTGCCGACTGCATACCAAAAGAGTTAACATGTCTCTAAAGTTAGTCCTTGTACCAGAAGACTGGAGAACGGCCAACGTAGCACCAATTTTTAAAAAAGGATCCAGCGGGAGGTCTGGGAAATTACAGGCCATTTAGCCTAACATCTGCCCTGGGCAGTGGCAACAAGCACATAAATAAATGGGGGCGATCCAGCAGACACGGCTTACTTGGGCTTCCAAAAGGCTTTGACAAGCTCCCTCAACAACGGCTCCTGAGGAAACTAAGCAGTTGTGGAATGAGAGAGAGAGAGAGAGAGAGAGAGAGAGAGAGAGAGAGAGAGAGAGTTCCCGCATGGATGACTGACTAGTTAAAGAACGGAGGCCTGAGGGTGGGAATGGATCTTTGGTCTGATCCAGCAAGGCCCTTCTTACGCTGTTACGTGCATAACTTTAAACAGAATGGAACCAGAGTAGAGATCCAGCAGCAGTGGAAAGATCTAAAAGCACAGCTAGAAAATTGAATAAAAACGGAGTGCTAAAAGCCTGGGAGGATGAGAAGGGGAGAGCATTCCAAAGAGGCTTGTCAGGCCCTCTGTTGTGACGATATTGCCCCCTGCCCCAGGGAAGGAGGAGGGTAGGAAGGCAATGAATGCCCCCCGGGATGTATCCCCAACGCCACTGTGATCTGCGTCAGCTTCCGGGCCACTTCGCCGTCCGACATGAAGCACCGGTGCAGCTTCCAGAGCCCTAAACAGCTTTAGAGCCAGCTTACCTGAGAGAGCATCTTCTCCCATGAGCACCTGTCCAGACCAAAAGGTCATCCTCAGAGGTGCCCCCACGAGAGAGGTGAAGCAGGGCCACCACGGAGGGGGCCTTTCAGTGGCCTCACCTGCTCGTGTGAAAAGCGAGGCACCGAAAGTCCTGGCAGATAAAGAGGTCCGCATCTGCTCCTCCCCCAGGGGCCCAATGCAGGGGCCAGTCAGCCCCTCTGCAGAGTGGGCTCCCCCCCCCTTCATTCTCCCAGCCTGTTGGCACTTAAAGAGTTGCTTTCTTTTTAAGGTGCTGCAGTTTTAGATCATTACATCGCTTCTGGATTTTACTCTGGTTTTTACTTTTATCCTGTGTTAAACTTCGCAAAAGCTTTGTGTTATGATTTATCGTGTTTCCTTCCGGGGTTTTAAGTTCTGCTAACTGCCCAGTGACCTTCGCCTACACAGTAGCCTGGGAATGCCATAAATTCAGGAGATTCAAATAAATATATTAGGTACGGGTGGTTGCAAAAGCCTTCCTGGGCAGCAAGCCAGGCAACCCCACAGAGGCTGGAGGAGCGGTCGGGAATAAAGATCCAGGGAAGCCTGAACTCCTCTGGATGGTGGCTCAGCCTGCAGGACCGCAGCACAGTAGATCAAGGGGGCCCGCAGCCCCATCAGGAGGAAGAGGAGGGAGCTACTGGTGGCAGCTGACACTCTGGGGGCAGTAGCCCCTTTCTCCTGCCCTCCCAGGTGCCTCAGACTTCAGTTCCCATCACTCCCGGCCAGTATGGTCAGTGGTCTGAAATACTGGACGGGGGAGGGGGTCCCAGCTGTTGGCTGCATTTCAGAAGGGCACCAGGTTGGGGAAGGGCGAGGGAGCTTTTGCTTTCAAGCCCAAGTGGATTAAAGTTGAGGACCGTTCCAGTCTGGAGAAGCTCCTGCAACTATAACCGCTTCACGCCACTCTCATGCGTGGCACTGTACAAAGTAGAGCGCTGCGGTCGCTGCCACCCAGTCTAGGGGTCCCTGGCCTTTGGGAACCCACGGCCCACCGGGGAACTCGAGCAGCGGCCATGGCAAGCATCACAAAATGTCTCCCACGATGCTGGCACAGGGCCCGGCCAGTGAAAACAGGCAGTGCGGGATGGGTGGGGAGGAAGGCAGCACGGGAGGGAGGGGAACAGCTCTCGGGGAGAAGGGAGAAAGGAATGGGGAGGCAAGCGGAGGTCTGTCCGGATGGGGGAAGACTTGCAGGGTGGGAAGCCTTCCTTCTCTTCCTGGACCCAGAACAGTTGAGCAGTCACTAACAGGAAAAAACTGACTCTCCTTGTGCAAGATGTTGTTTGCAGGGGGCAAAGAACGGGCAGCTTTGGAGGCACTGCTTGCTGTTCCCGTGGGTGGCTTGGATCACAGTGGGATTGGAGGGTTGGGGGGCAGCAGCAAAGGCAGCGTACAGAAGCGGGCTCTGAGCAGGAAATGGGCCGAGCTCAGCCTCGCTTTCCTCCCAGCGGCAGCACGCAAGACGGTTTGCAAGCCGTCCAGAGCGCTGACGGGCTACAGCCGCTGCGCAGAGACGTTTTAAATACATAGATGAATGAATGAATGAAAAAGCCTCTTCTCTTGCACGGGTGCAGGGAGCACCTGCCGCCACATGGGAGATTCCGGCTCATCTTGCTTTGTTTTCTGAGTGGGGGGCGCAGGCCCCCAGAACTTGCATGGCTGGGACAGCGCGGGCCCCTTTCTAAACTCCCTGCCCTCGGTGATTAGCTGCCTATTCACATAGTCTAACAACCCTAATTAGGCTGGCTAATAATTGCACATGTTTTGCAGGAGCTCTCCAGACCTCGTCATCCTGCGCGATGTTCCAGAAAGCAAGCTGGCCGCTGGCTGAGATGGGGGAGATTTTTTTGGGGGGGGGGGGAGGCTGTCTGCACAGGCTCAGTGTTCCAGGTTTTTCCCTGTTGGTCTTAAGCTGATCTGGAGGAGAGGGTCTGCCCATCCTCCGCCACATCGTCCGAAGCGTTCAGCCCCACCACCGCACCACCCCTTTCCCCGCTGTATCCCCGCTCCTCCTGCCACAGGCTTTTGCCGGAGGAAGCGATCCTGGAGCCATTGTGGCGATCTCGCAAAGGCCTCACGTTGCGTTGGGTTAGGGGATGTTTTCGTAGGGCCAAGGTCGGTGCCTTGGGGCGTGCCTATCCCAATTCCCCACGGCAGAGGGCAGCACTTCCATACAGAGAAACATAGAAACAGAGCGAGTCAGAACGGGTCCTCCTGGGCCATCTAGTCTGACCCCCGGCTGCAGCCAGCTCCGCTCACAACATGCCCACCACGTCGCACTGATCTTTTCGGGGTCTCTATAAACACAGGAATATTCCGGTAGATACGACCAAACCAAGGCCAGGGAAGGCAGGGAAGTTGGTCGGTTTGCAACTGGCGCCCGCCACCCTCTGCCCACGCCGCCAGGGAGCGCGCGCTTTCTCCCCTTTCGATCTCGCCACAGCCCAGCGGTGGCGCTTCCTTTCGCGAAGCTCCTTCCCGAGGCTACCCGCTTCGCGCGGCCTCCGGCTTGCCGCTCCCATCCCGCGACCCCCCGCCTGCCTGCTGGAAGGCCGCGCGGCGCCATCCCGCCCTCGCCCTGCGTCTCGCTCAGCAACCCTGGCAGCGCCTCGGGGCAGGGACCGCGCGGGCGGCGGCGGCGCTCGTGCGCTGCGTGCGCGCTGCCCGGGGGGCCTGGAGCGGCCGCTGACTCGGCCCGGCAAAGCAGGCGCCCCCCGTGAGCCGCTCGAGGGCGGAGGGCGCGGGGCCCCGGGGCGGGCTTCCGGGCCTGCGCGCAGCTCGGCGCCTGGGGGCCCCGGGGGGCCGAGCTGGGTCCAGCTGCCTCTGCTCCGGTCCCTTCCCGGCTGGGGGACCGCGGCGCCTCCGCGAGCGGAGCGGGAGGGCTGCGCGCGCGGCACCGATCCTGGCCTGCGCGCGGCGGGGGCCGGAGGCCGGGGGCGGGCCCCCCCAGGAGGCGCGGCCCCGGGGCGCCCTGTTCGGGCGGCGGCTCTGCGGCTGATGGCCGGCGCGGGGGCTCCGCGGGGCAGCCGCTTCGGGGGACAATTACGCAGCTGTCCTAATTGCGGCGCCTTTGATTTTACTGTAAGCCACCGCAGGTCTCCTTTGGGAAAGGAATGGAAGGATGAGCAGCACACGGGCCCGCAAAACGTCCCTTGCTCGAGGGAGCAGGGCAGCTTTCGTCAGCCTGTCGCCCTCCGGACCTGCTGGACTGCCACTCCCATCATCCCCCGGCCTGGAAGCCGGGAGCAGCGGTGTAAAACTTCTGAAGGCACGGGCGCGGGGAGGCAGCATCAGACGCTCAGGGGTGGGGTTAGGGTCTGACGTTGCTGACCGTCTCCAACGTGGCGTCTGCCGTGCTGGGTGGGGATGATGGGAGCTGGAGTCCCGCACATAGGAGGACACGGGTGGGGAAAGGCAGGCTGCGGGCGGGTTCTCTGGGACGGGCTCGTGTCCCCTTCCAAAGGCGACCTGATCTGCGGGGCAACCCTCGCTCCCCCCGGAGTCCTGGCTCCCCCCGGGTGGGGGCATCCCGCCGGGGGCTTTACCTGCGTCACGAACTTGTTCTCGCTCCACAAGGCCAGCGGGGGGTCCTCGAAGGTCTTCTTCATGGTGTTGGGGGGCCTGAAGGAGTCCGCATAGGTGCTGATGGGCGTCTTGGTCTTGCGCGCGAAGAGGAACATCTCGGCCTCGGGCAGCGCGCGTGGGGCGCACGGCGTGGGCGGGCGCGGCTCGCGGCTCGGTCGGGAAGGGCCCCCCCACTGGCTGCCCTGCGCGGTGAAGAAGGGGAGAGGGGCTCCGCATGCCGGCGGGACAAATTGGTGTGTGGCCGCCCCGGGCCCGCGCCCCCCGCAGCCGGCCCCGCATCGCGTGTGATGTCACAGTCGGAGGGGCTGCCGCTGCGCGCAGGGGGCGGCCTGGCGGGCAGGAGGGCCCGCGGGGCTGCCGGGGGGCCGAGGCTTTGGGGCGGGAGGGAGACGAGGAGGCGCTGCCGGCCTGGCATCGCGCCTGCGCCCCCTCGCCTCCTGGGGGCGTCGCCTTTCCGGGCCAGGTGAGTGTTGGCTGCAGGCCCCCTGTTGGCTACCAGAGCCCCCAGGAGAAGCCCCCTGGGGCCGAGGACACACGCCTGGAAAGGGAGGAGCTGGTGCCTGGACGGAGGCATTCCCAGATAATGCAGGTCGCTTCGTGATGATCTGCAGCCCACCCTCCAGCCTTCCTCAACCTGGTGCTCTCCAGAGATGTCATCTCTCAGGCAACGGCCACGCTGGCTGGAAGTGATGGGAATTGCAGTCTGACACAGCAGGGGGGCACCGGGTTGGGGAAGGTGGCTTTGGCATTAGCGGCGGGCTCCCTCTCGTGGCCGCAGGCGTTATTGCCATTTTTGCTTTCCACGCTTCCTGCCCGTAAGAGGCCGCATCGCAAAACCACCCGGCGCTACAGAGATGCAGTGCAGCACCGTGCAAGATCGGGCTTTGCGTTACAGAGCACGGCAAAGCTCCCACGGTGCGCGCTTGGAGGTCACGAGTTACAGACTGCTTGTGGGGCCCCAGTGGGGCTGCAAGGAAATACCAGGCCGAGGTGCAGCACCCCTGCTCGTTCCTCGCGGCACCAAAAGCAGCGCATCTCGAGGGCAGACTGTCTCGCAGGGAAGTTTGCCACCTGTTGCTGCCTCTTTTTATCATTTGTCACCTTTTGCGGGAACTTCCTGACTGCTCCCGAGAGCGATGCCCAGAGGGACTTCACATGCACAAGCATCTCTGTGCCCCGGGAAGGCTGCAGTGATTACTTCCCTGCTGTGGAGTCAGTGCGCCCAGAAACCTCACAGATACCCCTGCAATACAACAGGATTCCCGAGAACCCAGCCCAAAGAGTCGCTGCAGCTGCTGGGACAAATATTTTACCAGTCACCGTCGTCTGGTGGGGGGACGGCAGTCAGGCCCGTTTGGGCACTGAGACGTTTGCAGTTTGTTTAGCTACGCGAGGACAGGCCGTGTGGGCATGCGCTGCTTTGGGTCGATCACAGCCGCCTCTGCTTGGGACAGATTTCCGAAGTGGGCTTGCAGCGAGGGCGGCAACAGGCGAGCCATCGCCCCGTCAGGGCAGCTCCCGTGCAGGGCAACCAACGCAGCCAGCGATCGTGGGGTGCTTGCCAGTGCCACGTGGAATGAAACGAAGCCTTCCGAATACGTTTCTTCTCCCTCTCTCTGTACTGCACTGCACACAAGGGGGGAGTGATGAATTTGGCTAGGGTGGCCTGGTTTCCAGTAGCCCTGTGCTGACTCCCTTCTTGCAGCTTCTACGCCTGTGTTGTGAGGTAGGTTAAAACAGCATTGCAACGGGCTGACGACTCCCTCTTCCCATCCCCATCCCTTAAGAAAGGACTCCAACTGGGCGTAAGCTGTTGCAGAAGCCTGTTTTGCTGAGGAGGAGGAGGAGGGCAACACCTTAACGAATGAATAAAATTAAGCGGCTGCATGTGAAGCTCTCAGCTCACAAGCCTCCCATGGTCACTAGCGGAGGCAGGGAAGCCGCGGAAAGCACAGGGCCAGTGCAGCTGCCCTAGCGGCTGAGTGGAGGGTGGTTTTGGAGCGAGGCAGGGCTGCTGGGAAAGTAGCCGAAGAGCCAGCGGCCACACCTGGAGGCCACACCTGTTGTTGGCAGCCAAGGTAGTGGAGGAGCGGCAAGGCGTATATTGGGTCCAAGTCTCCCTCTCTCTCACACCCACCCGTTCGGTGGCTGGTCTCCAGTGAAGGATGGCATTGAAGTGACCCCGTCCTCTTCTCTGGCGTTCGAGGGACAGAATGAGACTCCCAAGGCAAGTTTCATACATATGCTTTTTAATATTAATTCTGTTACACTACGCACAACCAGTAACAATGATAAATACTGCAATGGAAATGTTAAAAAAATATTATACATGTATCGTGTCTTCCAAAACCACATTTTAAAAATAAATTAATGCGTAAACTCGATGGCAGTTTAAAAAAAAAATTACACACACAACCGAACGGATCTGTTTAAGGCAGTATTCTACATGATGGGAAAAGGAGGACTGTGCTACACTGTTTGGATTAGAAAAGCGAAAGTTAAGACGAACGTTGCTATAAGATGGAAGCCGACTGACCAGGAGTGGGCGTCCACCAAAGAGGACCCCACCCCATCTGTGTGGCAAAGGTTAGAAGGGCAGGGATACCACAGATGCGTCCGAGCTGAGCCAGGCTCCACACCCTTCCACGGCTGCCTAGTTGGGAACCAACGCCACCGCACACCCGCTTGTGGGACACACACAGCAGAGTCAGGAACCGAGAGGAAACCGACAGCCCGGCTCATGATCCAAGCCGCCGCCGCCGGCTCTTCTAGGACATGGGACTTCCATTAAAAGAATGGGGGTTTACTACACAGCCAGCCATCTCCGTTTTCTGCCCCGGCAGAGCACAATGTTGAGGAGTGGCACTCCCGAAAAATTGGCATTTTAAGAAGTGCCTCCATTTGGGAGTGCAGTGCAAACAGGCGCACCTCCTCCAGACAGTCCTCTCCGGAAGGGCTCACATAAAATCCGTCCATGGCACATGTTCAGGCAGGAGAGCACACGGGTCCCATGCCGAAGGTCCGCCAGGTTGCGGCAACACGCGACTGATTCGGGGCCAAAGGCTGTGTCTGCCTTGGGGTGGGGGGCAGGAGAGGGCAAGGAGACACGATTTAACAGATAGTGCAAAAAAGAAAATGTTCTCTCACCCGTCACAAATTAAAAAGGAATAGCTGCTTCTTGCCAACCTTTTCTGGGGGACGACCATTCACTTCCCCTAACTGTTTTGTAGTGTGTGCAATAAAATAAAATAAAATGGAATTGGGGCAGATCTTATCAAACCAGTGTTGGTAATAAGGTGCATGTTGGACAAATGCCAATGAACAGCTAAGCCAGGTCTTCTGAAAGAATGCCACACCATCTCTTTAAGATGCTTAGAGAGGAAGGTTGCTAAATGCCGACTCGAAGAAACGAAATGCAGTAAAGGAGAGCCGAGGGGAGGGGAGGACACACCAAGTTCCCACCAGCAGTTAAGGCCCACGCACCTCCCGCAGCCGCAGCAGCGGCACTGGCCAAGCAAAGCTCCCGAGGGGTCGCCAGGCCACGCGTGCGCCCAGGGCCCCACGGAAACGGCGCTGCCCATCGTTCTGCCTCCGAGTTCTGGGACAGGGTGCCATGTGCGGCAGGGCGCAGAGTGGGCAGTGGGGCTTTTTGGAGGGATGCCTTGAGCCGCCCCGGCTTGCTGGAGGTGGGGGGGGGACAAAGGGAAGAGGAGGGGGGCCTCTGGTTACACTGGATCCAGCAGACCTGGATCGGGGGGGTGGGCGCGGGCCACAGCGATTCCGAAAATCAAGGGGTGAACCGTGGATGCATGCAACTGAACGAGGTCTGCGATTCTAGGGCAAGCGACTGGACACGGAGCTCGAAGTGGCCGGTGACGACATCCCGGCTCTGCTGCTCTTCCTGCTTACTCCCCCTCGAGGCCTTGCCTGCCTGGTCCCAGTTCTCCCTGCACATAAGTCCGAATGTGGTTGGAAAACTGCCCACCTCTGACCTGCTGGCTGCTTGTTCCTTCCTAACCCACACCTGAGGCACAGGCCAAGACTGCGGACAGGTCGTGTCCTGCCCTGGCACAGCACTGGCCTGTACGCAGGAGACCACCGCATCCTAGGACAAGTGCCAGACAGGCCTGGGGGGCCCTCCTTGTTCCGCCCAGAGGAGACGCTATGTTCTCTGTGGGAGGGGCAAAACAGCAGGGAGGCATGTGGGGGGGCACGTCTTCCTGACAAACGTGCTCCCTCCTGCACAGCCCCTTATCTCAGTGGGTGCCCCCCCCCCGAGCTGCCGAGGAACAGCCTTCCGAGCATTCAGACCTGGGTCCATGCTGCTGGCGGGACCACCTTGACACGGCCTCAAGAGACATTTGGGATGCGCAGCCCAGGGCCAGCAGTGGCCCATGCTGTGCCCGAAGCCACTGGGAGGTGGGGCTCATTCAAGCCACTTCCCAGCCGACCTTCCCGAGAGGAGAGCTACGGGGGCGCAGGGGTCTCCCTCAGTGGTGGCAGGTCTTGGGGGAAGCAGCACAGACTCTGAGAGAAGGGAGTGGCACTCGCGCCGGAGGAGACCAGAGGCTGCCCTGGAGCACCTGTGGGAGGCACAGGGCCACGAAAGGGGCTGCCCATCCCCCCTGCCCGCCCCTCGGGGAGTTTTCCGGAGCTGTAAACCTGGCAGCAAGGACAGAAAGGAAAGTGCAGCCTCAGAGGGAGAAGGAAGCGCCATGAAAGAAGGGGAAAGCCAGCTTGTACTGCTCTGGTAGGTTGCTGACGGATAGGAAGTCTTGTTTCTTCCCGAAGAACCTCCAGGATGCTGGGATGTCTTTAGCTCTTAAGACTCAATCTGTCAAGGGAACGTTGCCCTTGAACCATCTGTTAAGAAAACCGCACGTTGAAAGAAACAGTGAGGGGGCACTGCTCGGACTGAATGTCCCTGTAGAAGTAGGACTGGAAGGAGGCCCGGACAAGAGCAAAGTGCTTCTAAGGGCTCAGGTGACACCCTCAGCCGAGATGCCCCGCTCCACCACTGCCAAATGATCCTGAATCGGGCACCCTCAAGAGCCCACCTTCACAGGCACCCACATGGCCGGCCCGTCACAGCACTGGAGAAGAATGAGTGTGCCTTCCACCTACGTTTGCCCTCATGCTAGAATACGGCACATCTCTGGTGCCTCTCCGACCCAGCCCTGCATTGTGGGAGCCGCTGCAGCCCCCTTCCGGGGCTCCAACCTGCGTCCCCGGATTTCACGCTGTGGCTTTCTACCTGCGCTTCTTGGGGCGTGCAATCGCGATTGCAGCACGGACCACGAGCAGTCCCTGCAAGGTCATTTCAGCCGTGCAGTGAAGGTTGGAGAGAGAAGAGAGAAAGGGAGAGAGAGCACTCCAGAGTGAAGGACAGCCTAGTTACTGAGGCCTTTCTGGGGGTGGAACGAAGTGGGAAGACTGGTCTCTGTGCTTCTGAGGAGGAGCCAAAGACTGAAGCAGCACTGCTGTGCCCTGGAAAACTGACAGGTAGCTGACGGGATCTCTAAACATGGAAAACAAATGAGGCATCCGGCATTTGAACGAACAAGGAAAATGGAGATGTGCCGGGCCAAGTCTCCTTCAAGCACACGGGGCTTTTCAGAGCGCCACCTTGTCTGGGCTTCTGTGCCAGGTTCCAGCAGGAATTTCAATGAGCTGTACCATAATCTTCCTCTTCTTGATGTCAGGCTACTTCATAATTTGTTGCTATGGAAACAAGCGCATCTTGGCCAAGCGTCTCTCAGTAAGAGGCAAGTGGAAAGGGTTTCTCCGACACCGCTTTCTCCCTCCCTGACAGGCACAGAACGAGTTGGATTTGGAAAACACCTGAAGGCTCCTCAGCGTGACAGATGAAAAGAAGAGTGGGAAAAAGCGTGAACTGCACCTGGCAGACCCTGTCTCCATCTCTATGGCAAAGCGGCTTCGTGGAAAATGGCAGATCCTGCCGTATGAATCAAAGCCACGACCTGATGAATTATTTCAGTCCCAGTGGGCAGTCCGGACTTGTGTTGGCCACCCTGACCTGCTTCCCAGAGAGAAGGCAGCCACTCAGATCACCAGCCGTCTGCAGAGATTCTTGAAAGTGGTGGAACCGCCGCTACGATGGGGTTTCGCTTCCCCGGGAAGCATTTTGAAATATTTTACTTGGGGCAAATGAGCAAGTTAAGGGCTCCCGAGGGAATGACACATGCAGGCAAGCCAAGGCTGGCAGGAGCCCTTGAATACCAAGCCGTAATTTCGTCGCGATGGAAGGAACCCGCGCTCTGCTTTGCAGCCCCAGTGCTGGGCTTGAAAGGAGCTGCGAGGGCCCAGCGTGACATGCGGGGCAAGTCCAGGCGAGCGAAGGGCGCGAGAGGCCGGAAGGGCAGCGCCGAGTCCAGAGCCACCTGCCGCAAGGCATCCTTGGACTCTCCGGTACCTGCAACCCTATTTTTCTAAGTTTTGGAGGAAACCTGCAAAGGGCGCAGGAAGAGAGCTCAAACCCTAGCAGGACAGCAGCTCCGTCTGTGGTGCACAGAGAAGGGAGGACAGGGGAGAAGATCTCGAAGAGGGAACCGGGAGCCCCTTGCCATTCTCTTGTGCTGTCGCCCACATCTGTGGGTTCTCCTTCCCTCGCCTTCTCTAGCTCTGCGTGCTGGGGAGGCCGTGCTGCTCGGAGGCCTGCGATCCCAGTGCGGGCACCGCAGCAGCCGAGCGCTCCAGCCCTCCCCGCTAGCGAGCAGCCGTGCACTCTGGCTTGGGCCAAGCCTGCTGCAGGGCCTCGCTCCGCCTCCACACGCAAGCTTTGGGTCTGCACGCCCCGCTCTGGCCTCTGTGGGGCTGGGCCGTTCCATAAACACGGACCAGGTCAAGCTACGCGTCCACGTCTCGTTCCACTGGTCTCTGACCAGCTGCAAGCTCCATGATTTTCTGATGAAGCCACCTAAAAAGCTGCCTTGCATGCCATTTCCTTCATACACCTTTCAAATCCAGTGGTTACCCACCCACAGTGACCCTGTCTTCTGCTCCTGTTTGCTGAGTGCAGACAGACATTCTGGCTCTCCACAGAGGAGGAGAAGCCAGGATGTGGGCACTGAGGGTCTTCCGTCACGAGACTGGCCCGGCTGAGTGAGTCCCGCCTTGCGCCATGCCCACCTCTCCCCTCTTCCTGCCAAAGCACCTAAAAGCACCTTCCTCCTCCTCCTCCTCCCTAAGCAAGCTGGTATTTGCTTGATCTCAGCCTCCCCGCAACAGAGCTGGGGGCATCAGAGCTGCAGACTGGCTTAGAGGTCTGTTCTGGAAAGGAGAACGGCAGGACGCCGCTTCCGCTCCCTCCTGGCCTGTGTGTGGGCAGCTGCCCTGTCCTCCCTCCCCAGCTTTTGCACCATCGAGCCCGTCGAAAGCAGCACAGAGCGACCACGGAGCGCACACGCCAGGAGAGCGTGCCAGGAGGAGGATCCACAGCTCTCCTGCAAACGGAATGCGGTCTCTCTACCTTGGGAGGGGGAGCTCAGCACTTCCATCAGGCGGGGGCCTCCGAGGGTGGGGAAAGCAGCATGCACCACGTCGGGCAGCTGCCAAAGCTCTTCTCTACTGCCCGGGGGGGGGGGGGGGGGGGAGTGGAAGCAAGATGCGGGAGGGTGTCAATAACCGTTTGGGGCCAGCTGCACGCCCCGGGGCTCCCCCCAGCAGCACCAGAAAGGCCAAGCCAGGGTCCAAGGCCAGCCCCGTGCGGCCAGGGGCCTGCTGTCAGCTGAGCCTGAAGGACCAGCAGGGGCCCGCCGGCTGAGCACACCTCTGCGGTATTTACGCTAGCTCGGCCCTTCTTGTGGAGCGCTGGTCCCTCCGGGGCCTCTCTCTGGAGCCAGAACGGTTTGGGGCGGCAGGCTTCCCGGGCAACTGGAGCCTCCCCAGTATGCCCCCTTCCCTTCTTTAGCATCCGCAGCCCCACAGAGACTCGGGGTTGTCAGGCCATCCCCACGACCCGTGAGGGCGGTTTTTCTCCCTTTCGATGCTGAAAACTGGCACGTGATTATTTGGGACCCACGCGAGGGCTTCCGTAAGGAAGAGCGTGGCTGAGGCCTCTGAACCTCTTCCCGGTGACCTGCCAAGCCACGTGCTTAAAAGCAGTTGCAAGTTTCCTGCAAGGGCCACGTGATACATGACAGCCCTTGCGCCTCCCTAAAATGCGCGCCGTTTAGTGCACTGCTAAAATGGAGCGTGTGAACACAAACCCAGGGCCACATGCTTGCAAATGCGCGCGCACTGCAGGCACGCTCCTCAGGGAGATGCGCTTGGCTGCAGCTCCGCTAACGGGACATGCTGGCAAAATCCGAGGTTGCCCCGTCCTGTGTGGAGCAGCTCCAGGAAATGGCCGCATGGCAGGGTCTGGGGAAAGCTCTCCCAGAGCACCCCGGAGGCCTGCGTTCACACGATCCGCTTCCAGATGGCAACACTGCGTCACTCATTCGCCTGTCTTATATCCACTCCCACCTCCAAAAACACACAGACACAAAGCCCAGGAGCGAGGAGAAGCCAAAAGTTTTGTTCCATTTTATGACTCTGCACTGGCCTCCCAAACTCTGTGCTGCCATCAAGGATGTTTGGTGAACTTGGAGCGGACTCGGAGCTCTAGTTTCACTGACGGAAAGCCCACACCAGGCAGGCCAGCTCAAAGATGAGCTGAAAGGTTATTTGCCAGTCCCGGTCCTTTGATGCACAGGCAGGGGGAGAAGTTAAATTCAAAGCAGTTTTTTCATGGTCAATGGTGCGTGGAAGATAAAAGAGCTGGGTTGGCCAGAAATACAAAAGATGGCAAAAAGACAAAAACTTGAGCGCTACCAAAGTAAACATGCAGGACTGTGTGGGGCTAGCAACTTAAACAGTGTGTAAAAATTGAATATGATTTGATTTATCTCTAGGTAGAAGTTCTCAAAGGGATTAAGATGCCTTTTCCAGTACAATCTTCCTAGGTTTCATTTCTGATAAGGTCACCTCACTCTGTGGGCAGAGGGTCTTAAACAAAGGGCGTAGTCTTTGGTAGGAGCCCCTTGTGGCTCGTGTCTGGACCGGCCGCCAGGTGTTCAGGACTCTGCGCTGGCCTTAATTTCAAAAGCACAGCTCAGCAGGACAGTGCACCTAAGCGCCTGAGCCCACGTCGCCGACGTGGCGATCTTGCTCTCACTTGCTGAAAGCCCCTTATTTCTGCCGCCTGGGGACTGCAGAGGCTTTGACCCAGCCACCTTCCCGACACCCAGGGATCATGGTATACACTGACACAAGGCTGGCCTGCACAGCATTTTGGGATAGGTAGTCCCCACAGACACAATAATCTACTGGGGAAGGGACAGAAATCACTTGTTGTGCTCATCAACAGGGGGCTTCTAGACCTGTAACGATTCACAAGCACAACTTGGCCACGAAACTCAGCGGGAAACATGCCAAGGCAGGGACTGGCACGGAGGGGAAGCGAGGGGGCAGCCCAGTGTCGGCGGCACGTGAAACTTGGCCGCGAGGGCCCTCCACGAAGTGTCAAGTTGTCAAACTTTGGGGATGTTTAGTGTGCACAAACCTTGGCACCACCCAAACTGAGCAAGCGAGGGAATGCTCTGGCGGGGGTGGGGGGGGGAGCCAGACCTGGGAATTCCTTCTCCTCGCTGCGGAGGCACCGTGCAGGGTCAGCGGTCACGCGACGCTGCAGGGGCTGCTCTAAGCACCGAGCGCACTAGCGCTGCGCATGACGGACGAGCGTGCCTTGCAGCGGCCTGCGCCTGCCGGCAGCGTCTGCGCGGCACCCGACAGCGAGACGGGCCCTGCACTGCCAGGACCCGCATCGACGCTGCTCCCTCGGGCTCAGCGGCACAAGCACAAACACTGCCCCTTCTGGAAGAGAGCAGTTTCCCTCTTGCTACAATCCGGGGAGCGGCCACCTGTTTCCTGGGGGAAGAGCAGCTAATCCGGGGGCATTCGCCTGGGAGCACAGCTTGCTTCTCACGCGCCCGCTCCTGGAAGGACAGGGCCCTTGATGTGGGCATCGCTGCTTCTCCAGCTCCTGGCACAAGCCCCACACCAGGCAGGATGCGGCAGGCGGGCAGGTGGCCAGCAGCTGCTGGCCACGCGATGCTCTCCTTCAAAGAGCCACAGAAAACCTTCCTCTCAACGCCGTTCGTGGGAACCTCACGTGGGTCCTGACAGAATCTGCGGTTTCTCACTTTCTCATAGCAGGCTAGGATTCTGGAACGCAAGCATTAAAGCCCACAAGCAGGGCTGGTTTGACTCTCTGGACAGGCTTAGGGGAATGTCCACTGATTGCTGTGTGGAAACCTCCCGCGATACCGCCTTGGTTTTGCCCGTGGGCTGCCTGACGCTGATTTCTGATGTTGGTTCCTCCCGCTGCGCCTCATGCCTGCTCCCACGTCCCTGTTCAGGGTCAGTCCATCAAAGAAGCAGCAGGCTCCCCAAAAAGGAGTTTACCCCGTTATTTCCTTCCTGGTCTGCAATGCTGGCACTTCAGGCCCTGGCCTCAGCCCCTGCAGCGGCCTCCTCCCGTTCCGTCCACCCCAACCCCAAACCCTGTGACACAGCTCACAAACGGGCCCGAGTCCAGAGGGAGCCAGAGGCCTTTCTGGACCCCCACGGCCCACTCGCGGTGCCTCACGCCTCCCTCGCGGGAGTCCTAAACACAAATTGGAAGAGGATCATAAAATGAATTTCTTTTTGGTTTTTCCTGGCTCCATGAACACAAAGAGGTGCACGTCCTACCATAGGAGGAAGCAATGGCTGTTAAGTTGTACAGTTAGAGTGGAGAGGCTGGCCACCCCTTGCCAGCTTCCCCGTTACTGGATGTGGCAGGCAGTGGAGGAGGTGGCTTGACAGCACATGCAAGTGGGGTTGACCGACTTGGGGGGGATCAGGTCCAGGTCCTCGTCGTCTGGGATCTCATCCAGCCGGTAGCCATCCTTTAGCAGCTGGATGTTCAAGTCCTGGTTGATCTGCTGCAGACAAAGAGGCACGGGGTCACGCGACCGGTCGCTCCAGCCCGTCTCCCGCGTCCAACGGGACCCGACCAAGCCGCGACAGGCTGCAGGGCTTCGGTCTGGGTTTCAGAAGACAGGCGCGAGGGGAAGCCATGTCTCAGCACCGATACCCCCCACTCTGCACATTCAGCTCCTGGTCTCTCCTGTGAGGACGTCCAACGGGGGGAAACCCCGACTGCCTTCCGGGGAGCCTAGGAAGTGACCGGCAGAGCCTGCCAGCGCCAGATAAAGGCTTCCCCATCCCTGCCAGCTGGAAATTGAAGCCTGGGTCTTTGGCATGCAAAACAGTTAAGGATGACTAAGCGATGGGCCCAATCCCAGGCCGTTGCTAAGACGGTAAGCATGGCTGCCCACGTTTGATTGGCATTTACTTGTCCCGCCTGCCAGCAAATCTTTGCAAAAAATGTTGAGATACCAGACAAGGACACGATCCTTTTTAGCACTGGCCCGCTAAAGACCTAATGCAGATTACGTAGTGGATCCAGGGCGAGGGATGTGTGAGCCGTCTGCCTGGGCTTCCAGCCTGCTTTCCCGCAGCCCTGAGGCCGGGCTCCCGGAGCGTGTGCCCAGCATTCGAGCAGTGCCCTCCACGAGCGAGCGGGGGCCCACTCGAACACGCCCCGAGCAGCAGCCTCTGCTCGGCTTCACGTGCTGCCGGCCGTCCTGCCCTGGATCCAGGGGCACCTGCAGACTTCCCACTGGGCTCAGCTCACTTTCCAAGACAGGGCTGAGCACAAGAGGAGGTCTGTGAGCGCGGGGGGGGGGTACTCCATGGAGCTCTGTCACCACACCATCCCAGCTGGCTTCCCACCCAGGCACCAGCCAGCCCCTAGGGCTGTTCGGCCTCTCGGATGGAACCACGCCAGCCCCCGTCAGGCCCTCCTCTGGGCTGGGAGGCTGAACTGTGGGCGGGGGCAGAAGGCTCCACCAGTGTGTGCTGCCTTCCCAGAAGAGCAGGGCACTGTTCAAATCGCTCGCCCTCTGGGCAACGACAGGCACGTCTCATCCTGAGAGGGAAGAGCGAGTTGAGGGGAGTGGGACTCACCTCAGCTGACGAATATCCCGAGGAGGAATATCTGGACATGTCGAAGTCATCATCGCTGCAGAGGAAAGCGAAGGACAGTGAGGAGAAGGGCCCTCTGCGGGCAGGGCCGTCACGGAGCGAGCTGGGGAGCAGCCCCGCTGGGCCGCCCCGAGGTCGGGCCACCTGCACGAGCCACACTCACCCAGGGGACCGTCCGGGGCAAGTGCCGTGGGCACCCGGTAAAATGCCCTGCCTCCCACAACCTGGTTCCCTCCAAATGCGCTGGATTACAGCCCCCATCATGCCCAGCTGGCATGGCCATAAAGGAACCACAGCATTTCATCGTGCGCAAACCGGCGACACTGCGCGGCGCCCCGTTCTATACCTGTCTGTGTCCAGCGCTACCAACGGCTTTTCATCAGGACTTTGATCTAACGAAGAATAGCCTTTATTGGGAACAACCAGCCTGAAAGAAAAGCACATGGCAAGCGTCAGCACGCCCACCTCGGTTGCAAAGGCTTGCGTCGAATCGATCTGCATCTGATGCCCAGAGGCCAGAGAGCGAACTGGGGTGGGCCGACTGACTGTTCGGAGGCTCCTGGCCAGTTTCTTGCCCAGCTCGACCCGCTGCCCTTTCCCTGCAGGGTCCCCGCAAGGCTCGGGGGTCAGCCTCTGAGGGACCCCCTCCTCTGCCCAGGGGCTGCCGCCATCCGTCTCCGAGGCACCTCCTGCAGCTAGGCGCGGCAAGAGGCCCCGGGCGACGGCTGTGGCGCTGCTCCAGGCATGCTCTACGATTCCGATTCCGTAGCTCACTTGGTGCCTGAGCAAACGCCTTCCAGGCAAACGAGAGGCCCTCCAGTTACTCTGGCATTCAAGCTTCGGTTCTAGTGACGTTCTTGCATCACTTTTAAGTGTGCTGCTTTAGTACTGCTTTTCTCAAACTGTAAGCTTTTGTACACTGAAAGGGGAGTAAATGTTTTAAAGAGCGCTTTCTTAACTTACGAGCTCATCACACAGTCATGTGATTGAGTTAAAAGAAACACCTTTTGCCCTTGTAAGAAAGCACCTGTAAAACCCTCACAATGCTATCAGGACTTTAAACAGAGAGTCCTTTGGCCCTTTTAGGGCTGACACATTTGTTCACATGGCATAAACGTTCAGGGACCAGAGACTGTCAGATGCACAAAAAGCTGTACACTCAGCAAAGGTACACAGCTGGTAATCGGTAGCATCCTAGCATGGGTAAGTTAATCAGCACTTGTAGTGGGGGAGGAAGGCAACATTTCTGGTTAAGGTTTTTCTGTCTTTGCAGAATGGCAGCTATGAAGCCTGGGTAACAAAGGTTGGCGACACTCTGCAGGTTGCTCATTAGAAATGTGCCTCTCATACCATAGAAAATCCAGTTCACGCAATCAGTATCTCTTCTCTGCTCCAGAGTAACTTGATTGTATTAGTAACTGCATTACTTCCCATACAGAAAAGTTTTTACCTCAAGAATGCAACGATGAGGCGCTATTATAAAAAAATGGAACCAATGACTATTTGGGGACACAGGTGCATTTTAAAGAAAGAGGGTCAAGTGTGGCACCAGCAATCAGCAAAACTCTTGGTAAAAGCATTTTTCAGCTGACTTGCAGAAAATGGCAGCAATTCTCTGTGTCATTTTAGGATATTTTCCCCCTTGAGAATACTTCTCCCAAGTCCTCTTCTCTATAAGTCAATTTCTGAGGAAACAAAGTAGATCTGTGCCATGTTTTTGGGCTCAGAAAGAGGTTTCTCTATCCTAGCAGAAGATCTAGCCAACGTTTTCATTCTTTTTAACAGAAGAACAGTGCATTCGGTTTCAAAACATGCGAAGGTAGGCGCTCTGGGGATATTACTAATTCCATCAATTATTTTTCCATTAATTACTTGATGAACTAATGTCTGGTGCTCATTTCTGAAACGAAGCCTACTAAATTTACATGCATTTTAGCATTAGATAACATTTTCTTCACCTATAAATGCCTTTTAATTTTCTACTGTAGCCCTCAAAAGCAGAAAAATAACAGGTTTTTGAAATATATTAGTAGTATTATTTTACTTTGCGGCTGCCCAATTGCCAAAGCACTCTGGTTTACGGTAGTCGGATTATGATGAATGCTGGAATTGTCCTGACTCCAACTAAACATCAAAAAAATGAAGGCCTCTTAAACATAAGAAGGTAACTTGTATTTCGAAGAGTACTTTGAAAAAAGTAAAAAAAAAAGGGGGGGTCAAATTCAAGGCCTTGAATCCACCTGGCATACCATCTACTGGCCCTCAAAGCGCATTTCCTGGGCTCTGCAGGAACTCTACCCACCTGCTGCTCACGTGGGCTTGGGACCACAATACCTGTTGCAGGTATTACCACAACGCCTTTCCCAACCACCATCTGCTTGGACGCAACACCTGGCCTCCAAGTGCCAACTCTGAGGGAGGCTCAGAGGGTGGAAAAGGGGAAGGTTTTCCCTGCAGTTCCCCCCATCTCCGGAACGACCTCCCTGCTGAGAGGACCGTCCAGGTGGCCCTTTTTGCTTTCCTTCCATCTGGCACTGGCAAACACCCCACGATTGCTGGGTGCGTTGGTTGCCATGCACGGGAGCTGCCCTGATGGGGCGCTGGCTCGCCTGTTGCCGCCCTCGCTGCAAGCCCACTTCGGAAATCTGTCCCAAGCAGAGGCTGCCGTGATCGACCCAAAGCAGCGCATGCCCACACGGCCTGCCCTCGCGTAGCTAAACAAACTGCAAACGTCTCAGTGCCCGAACGGGCCTGACTGCCGTCCCCCCACCAAACGACGGTGACTGGTAAAAAGACCAAGGCAAGTACACTAAATCCAGAAGATGCCGACAGGAGCCAGCCCAATGCCTTCATGAGGCTCATCAGCAGGGCACCAAAGCATGGCAAGACACGTCCTACAGGAAAGTCTTCAGGTTCAGCTGCCTGTGGAGGTGAGGCAGATGATGGCCTGAGGCAGGACCTTCTGGGGGTGCTGAGATTCCTCCTCCGAGGAGCTGTGTTGGTGCAAGGAATGCATGCAAGGAGCAAAGAGCTGAAAGGGGTCTTCCAAGGCTGCTCAGCCCGACTCCGTTCCTGCAGCATCCCTCATAGGTGGCCGGCCTGCTTCTCTTTAAAAGTCTGGGGCAAGGGATATCCTCTACCGTCCGAGGCAGGCTACCCCACTGTCTAACAGTTCCTAACGTAAGTAGGAATATTTAAGCAAAATGTTTTTTTTTTTTGTCATCTGAATGTCTGCAGGCCCCACCCTCTGGAGCAAGAGGAAACAAATTTGGCCAGGCGTTCACATATCTGAAGACGGCCTTCATCTTGCCTCTGCATTGTCTCCTCTCCTAGATAAACATGGCCAGCTCCTTCAGTGTTTCCTCACCGGACCTGGTCTGTGGGGCCCTCGCCGTCTTGGCACCCTCTTCCAGGTACATTCCAACTTGTCCATGGAGACTTGAACTGCAATGCCCCAAATGGGACACAATCTCTGGTGGACGTCTCACCAAAACAGCATGCGGGGCGCCCTTGCAGCTTGCCCGGCTGGTGCAGCCCGGATAAGCCAGATTAGCCTCTGCATCCACCACTCCGTGCTGCAGGGTTACCTTTAGCCTCTGGGCGGTGGAAGGCCGAGACCAAAACCAACCTAATCAGACCCAGCTCTGGCTCTTGGCAAGAGCCAGGAAGTAGTGGTGCCTGGCCATGCCCCCCTCCATCTTCTCCAGAGGCTCGGGACAAATGCCCTGAAGCTTTGCAAATCCTTATTTAAGGCAGGCGCCTGGGGGGAGAAACAAGCAATTGTGATGCAAACCAAGGAAGAGGATGGGAGGCCGCTGAGATGGTGGAACAAGAGGAAGTGGGCAGGCCTCCTCCTTTTGGTCAAACTGGGACTGTGATTGTTTGGGAGGGATTCACTGCTGAAGTGCCAAGGGTGGGACCATCCTCTCCTCCTCGGAACACTTGCCCAGGACAAGCATCACTGGAAGAGGGACCACTCGAGCCAGCCAGCCGCAGGGATGAGCCTGCACGCCCACAGTTCCGCCTCCTCGTGCAAGACAGGTGTGGGACAAGGTGCACGTGAACCTGCAGGATTTTCTGTACTTATGGCAAACGTTTCTCTCTGGTCCTGCCTCGGCTCGCTGAGTTCTGGGGGCCCACCTGTATGGCAAGAAGGGACTGGAATCTGGCAGCACAGTAACGGAGGTTTGCTTTCCTCCAACTATGGACATGAAATGAAATGAAGCCAACTCGATGCACATTCAGGGTACCATGGACCTTAAATCGGGCCGAGCGGGGGTGGGGGGATTTACCGCTCTTCTGCAGGAAGCAAATATCTGGAGTCAGCCATCCTGTGTTTGCACATGACTCTTCCCAGCAGCATTAATCGCCCTGATAGGCTGCCTTCTTCTCCGGCAAGGAACCCAAGGCAGCTCCCACAGTCCCCTCCTCTTCTCCCACAATATCCTCACAACATCGCTGCAAAGGAGACTCTCAGCCTAACCTGGCCCCTGAGATTGGCCCAAAATGCCCCCAGAGAGCTTCCTGATTGAGGGGAGACCAGAACCTGGTCCTCCCCAATCCCTGCCCTACCCTCTAACCACTGTACAACACTGCTCCTCATACTTCTTATTATGTTATCTTTTAAATTAACAGCGTCTTCTCTTGTCCGGCCCTGTTTTTATCTGCTGTTGCCTTTTTTTGGGCTGTTCCTTCTGTTTTATCAGCATTACGTGTGGCCTTGAGAAGATTTTAATCTCGATCTAGCCCCTTTTGAAAACCATCTGGGCTAGTGGCCACAGCCCAGTCCTGCGCGCCAAGCCTGTGTGTGAACGAGCGACGCGCCTGCCCAGTCTGCCGCGGAGCCGCTGCAGCGCGCCCAAGAGCGCTCGCTACCTGGTCCGCGCCATCACGTTGTTCTTCTTGGGCTGTTGGTTGACGGGGCTTCCCAGGTTGCCATTTTTCAGCGACCCCTTACGAGCCAGCTCTCTCTGTTTCTCTGCAGAAAAAGGCAGACATAAGCACATGGTTCAGAGAGAAGCCGAATCATTACCTTGCATGGGCAGCCAAAAGCAGCGCGCTCCTTCTTTTCAAAGAGGGCTGGGAGAAGGTGCGGCGCCCTCAACCTCCTTCTGCCTCGCCTGAGGCACTGCAACCCAAGAATCCCACGTTTTGAAGACAAAAGATACTCAGCCCTGGTGTGCTCTGGGCCTGGACCACTCTGTCCGAAACCTAACACAGGAATGGGACATTTCAGTACTTCTGAACATCCCCAGACCCTGCATCTTTGGGACTCCTTTGCAACACTCCCGCCTCGGCAGTTTCCAAACAGAACTGATGATTAAGGTTTCTCGAGATTAGTTTTCTGCTCTCCCCATTTGTTTTGCCTGATACCGTGGAGGTTAGGATAGCATTATTATGAATTACACGAGTTCGTGTTTATTTGCAAGCTACCTTGGGACAGAAATACTTTAAATAAATATAATTACCCGTCATGCAGCCTATTCTGCTTATCGCATCCCAAGGACGCTTGCGAGCATGCCTGAGTGAAGCTGCGCGTGCAACACCAGCGCGTGCAGATGATCTAGAGGGGTTCTGAATACGCGTTGCTTTACCAATGCAGCAATCGGTGGTGTTTTTCAGATGACATTTCACCGTTTCGTTTTATAAGCTTCCACAAACACACCCGATGGACTGCCATTTTGGAGACTGCACATTCGTCCCTGGCATGCAAGCAGCTACAAGGGAGTGGCACGCCTGGCAAAGCATTCCTGCACTCACGATGCCGTGTGAGTGCTCGATTTCACAGCGGCAGGATGACGGAGGTGAAAGGAAGGGCAGCGCAAGGCTCTGGGGAATTCAAACCCCTTTCGCTCACCTCCACAGAAACAGGGCTACAGAGTCCACAGCAGTTTCCCTGATCTGCGCTTTTGCTTTTCACTCAGAGAAAAAGCGCAGTCCCCGTCACCTCTGCCTCATGCCGCAGGGTTGCCCTGGGAGAAGCGTGCACTTCACGATGCCCGCCAGCCGAGGAAAACCATTGCGGTTGTAGGAAGTGCGTCTACAAACCTGCCGCCAGCCTGGACTTCACCCGTGTCACACTGTGTAAGAATGAGTCCCCCTGCGCGCCTCCCCCACTACTCAAGAAGGCGCTGTCATCCTTAGAGAACAGTGAGGGATTTAATTCCCCTTGAACAACAAGCCAGTGAAGACCAGAGTAATGTGGCGGGTGGTGGGCGTCTCTGCCTGCAAGGTGGGGGAGGACTGACCTTGCAAAGATACCCAGGGAGGCAGGGATGTTCTGCACCTGCCCCATCTCTGCCAGGGTGGGGGAGAGGGTGTTGAGCTAGGGGGTGTCACAACAGGAGCTTCAGGCCCGAGTTTCCATTTCCCCCAAAGGGACCAGTGGCAGCCACTCAGTTACATGGAACTAACGGGAGACCACTGGCGGCTTTACGGATGAAAATAAGTTACTATAGAGTTAAATAATTTATAGACTGTAAGTTCAATGTTCACAACATGGTAGGCGGGTGAACAAGATCCAACCTCCAAACCCCAGAAGGCTCTGAAGGGCAGAAGACACACATCATGACCGTGTTACACTTTTACAAGGGAAACCTGTTGAAATTGATGCTATCGTTTCTCAGATGCGCTTCGGCTGGAAAGTTCTTGTAGCGGCAGATATACATGGCTCAGCATGGAACCAGAGTCCAGTACCCAAACTAGCATGGCCCAGGACACGGGGAGGGCGGGAGGGGAAGCTCTGAAAGCCTCTTCTGTTCTCGCCTGTAAGTTCTGAATGGAGACGTTGCATTCCAGCACCAAAGGAGTGATTCTCATTTTGATTTCCCTTCAGCTTATGGGAAATGACCCCCACTATGCATCCCCCCCCCCCCGAGGAGCACTCTCCACCTGAATACTGGGCTACATGGACCATGCAGACAGGGGCTGATTTAGATGCAGCCTCTAAATACAACCTCCACATGGCTACCTGGCAGGCCAAAATATAGCAGGTGAGGCAGTGGAGTGGCCACACTGGCCGGACACTCAAGACGTCACTCGCCTTGCTGTTTATCTCGAGTACATTCGGTCGCGCCGTTGGGCTTTTCAGCCCCCGAACGGAGTGGCTGGTGGGAGCCAAGTCTGCCCAGCACTGTGCAAGTCTTAAAGCGCTTGCTACTGCTGTGCTCCCCCAGCACATTCCAACAGATCTGGTGGGATCGAGAAGGGAACATTTCCTTCGCAGGACACCCGTGGGGAGAAAGGCCGGTGCGCCAGTTATTTTCCGAAAGGCTGATGAGTCAGGTTATGCTTCTTGAGAAGAAATTGCAAGCTCCTTCTCGTGCGCTTCTGAGGAACCAGATCAACAAACTGGTATTTAGGGGAATTATGCTGCTCCAGTCTTCTGCAGGGTCCTCACTGCTTTTATCACTTCAGAGGCCAGATCCAAACAGTTCCCCTCCGTTCTTGAAGTGAGATAAAAAACCAGAGGCACCTGGGAAGAAGAGCTGCAGCTCCAGAGATTACGTCCTTGGACGTAACCCAGGAAGCACAACATTCAAATATTAAACCTCACATGTACCTTCGGAAAGCAAACACGGGTTGCAGCAATCCCTTCGGCCTTTTCTTCCACTATTCAGGCAATCATTTCCAAAGGACTGTGAAAACTGTGGTGGCAAGTATGGTGGGAACAATTAATGGACAAGCTGAGCCAGGTCTCCGGAGGTGAAGGACAGCTGCCTTCACCCAGAAGTCCCTGCTTGAGGTCCGGGCTTTCCTTGGAAATGTAATCCCAGATCTAATTTTCAGTAGCACTTTTAATGAATACCCTGTAAGAGGAAAGTGAATGTCAGCCCAGGGGATTCAATAAAAGAGCAGGCTTGCCATGATAATTAATCTTCTTTAGAGCAGGCGACACTTTTAAGGTGCGGGAAGTGAAAGCTGACACTGGAAAGCCTGCCCTTGACATGATGAGCCAAGCGTTACAAAGCTCCCCGGCCACCACCTGGGAAGGGCTGCACTGTCTCAGCACGTGCGAGAAATCGAGCTGGAGGCATCGCAAGTGCCAAGGAGGCGACTCCGTTTGAGCACAAGACCCTTGAAGAGGCAGAGCACTTAGGACAGGGGGTTTCTGCTTAACTCTTGGCGCAAAGCTACTAAGCTGCACCCGCCATTCTCGGTTGCAGGATGGCTTGCTGTGGATGGATCGCCATTAACACCTGAGGAATGGAAGGGGATGCTTCACCTGACGGAGGGGGGCGGGGGGGGGGGTACAGTCGGAAGAGCCAAGCAGGCTGTGGCCACAATGTGAAGCAGGGAGGCCAAGAAGCCGCGGGTTGTGCTTTCAGCCAGCCACCCCCAAACGGGGAAGCCTGAACCAGGCGGTCCAGGCAGGATGCGCACGGTGGCCCCGAACATACTCCAGGCGCTCCTCCCCCACGACCCACAGTGCAGGCACAGGCGGCATCAGGATGGGGGGGTCCACTCCCTCTGCCCACGAGAGGGGGCAGTTTTAGGAGTAGCATGTGGCTAACCAACAGCAACCGAAAGGAACAGAAGCTGTTAGAAGAGAAGGGCAATCCAGGGAAGAGAGCTGTGCCCGTGCAGTCAGAGGATGCAGCGGAGGACGAGGCGAGGGGACCAAGAGCGGCTGCTTCAGGACAAGCACCAGGAGCAAGGACTGAGATGACTTCCAGAGTCCTTTAGAAGGAGCCATTTGCCACAGCGCCTGACCAGCCAGTTGCCCTGCCACAGAATCGGCTGGGAACGCTGGGGTCCTGGCGGCGCTGGGCGGAAGGCCCTGGCTAGCAGCCCCGTGCATTCAAGAGCTGGGTAAGGACGCAGAGACCCGCTGTCCGGGGGCCGGACCCTCAGTCCGCCTGGCTCGGTATTCTCTGCACTGCACCGACTGGCACTGGTGGCTCACCAGGGCTGCGGGCAGGGCCCCGGGACAGCCTGCGTGGGAAAGCACCCCGTGGCCCCGGCCCTTCGGGTCAAGGGCACCGTGAGCAGCTAAGCCCCTCTCCCACGGAGGCCAGCCGTGGAGCTGCGCAAGCATGGCAGGGTGACGAAAGCTCCCTTCGGAGGGGGAGCGTTATGGATTGGATCCAGACCTGGTCGCATGTAGAGCAGACTCACGAAAATGCTCGAGACGGAAGTTAGCCAGGGGACAAAATCCACAGCTCTGCTGCTCTGAAGATAGCCAGGACTTGATTAGAGCCCCCTTCCCAACCACTGCGGTCCCTTTATGTGGCACAGGCTTGCCCCATCTGGCCCCCGCCAGCTGTTTGGCGTTCTCTTCCCAGCAGCCACTGTTTGGGAACACTGGGAACGAGAGCTTAGCACATCTGGAGGGCAGCAGATGGGGGGGACTGGTGTAGCGTAAAGGCCAGAGACCAACCACCTGAGGGATGTGGAACTGCAGGGGGGAGGAGGCGATTCCCTCCCCCGTCACGGATCCATCCATCAAGGTCTGAGACCATCAAAGCATCACCACAAGGCCATTATCTTTAATGCTGGAACCGTGTCACATTCTGAAGGGGCCGTGATGAGTGTTTCCTTCCCGTATTTCCTCTTCCAGTCAGCCGAGCAATTTGGTGCCTCTGACTGATCAATAACATTAGACAGATGAGACACCAGTGCGGCTGCTGCACGACATGTGAATGTCAGTCTGTGCTGTCTCCTCACTACTTCCCCAAGCACCCCCCACCCCCGGACAACAAAGCACACAGCCTTTAAAAAGAGCAAGGCCCGTTCATTAACCTCGGGGCAGCCTGGGCTGACACCAGCCCTGCCCCGGGGAAATTATATGCCGAAGCAGCTCCCAGCTAGGCAATCCAGGGCCCTTGCCAGCATCACGGCTTTCAAGATGCTAGCAAGTGAAAACAGCTCCTGTTGGGGTGTGGGGTTGGGAGTTCAGTGATCATATTCATCCCATGCAATTCTCCCAAATGCATACATTTCCCCAAAATTTAATTATGGCTCCCCAGCAAGCGATTTCCAATTTTAGCACATCAATGCTGAAAGGCCGTCACATTTCGCCTCTCCACGGGGATGCCATGCAGGGTTGCTGTTTCCCTGCTGAGGCTGCTGGCATTTCCGATCAACTCCCTTCCTCGTGGCTGATCAGCTGGGCAGCGGGGGAAGCGGGCGGCAGGCAGCCCGGCAGGCAGCCAAGGGCTCCGTGAAGTCTGCAGGGGGCCTGCACGCGAGAGAGACAATCAACGCTCTTTAAACGTGGCCCTAGAACAAGCACGTAAGAGAACGATCAAGGAATGAAAATCATCCGCACGAGAAAGGGAAGTGAGAGATGAGAAAAATCTAAAAGCCATGAGAACAAGTGATTAACATAGAAACAGAGCAAGTCAGAAGGGGCCTCCCAGACCATCTAGTCTGACCCCTGGCTCCAGCTGGCTCTGCTCACAACATGCCCACCATGTGGAAGTCCAGCCTATCCTTGAACACCCGCACCGATGGGGCCTCAACCACCTCCTGGGGAAGCCCATTCCACCCTCTCGGGGTCCCAACTGTCAGGAAGTGCTTCCTGGCATCCAAACGAAACCTTGGCTCCCTGAGCTTTGCTCCGTTCTGCCTTCCTCTGCAGGGGAGAACAGGTCTCTACCCATCTCCATGTGACACCCGCTCACACACCTGTATGTCACCAGCATATCCCCTCTGAGTCTCCTCTTCTCCAGGCTGAAGAGACCCAGTTCCCTCAGTCTCGCCTCATACGGCTTCCCCTGCAAACCGGCCTCCAACCTTGTGGCCCTACGCTGCACTGAGTCAAACCTGGCTATATCCTTCCTGTAATGAGGGGCCCAAAACTGAGCACAATACTCCAGTTGCGGGCGCACCAGAGTCATGTAGAGTGGCAGCAATACCTCTCTCGATCCAGAAGCCACACTTCTGGCTATGCAACCAAGGGTGGCGTTTGCCCTCTTGACCACCGCATCACACGGCTGGCTCGTGTTCAGCCTGCAGACTAGCACCCCGATTAAGATACTGACAGGAATGGAGAAGTCCCGAATTGAAAGTGTCCTGCTCTGAGTTCACGAAGTGGCCTTAACCACTGGTCTTGGGCCCAGGTCTGCAGGTGGGGATAATACCGAACTCCCTTCCTAGGGCTGTCCGTAAATTACTGAGATAATGTGTGCAAAGCAGTTTGAAGATGGATGTGCTACATAAAACCGAAGCCGTTGCTGGACTAGAACAAACACACTTTTGACAAGAGGTATCATTTTAATTTGTCGTGTCATCTGAGCTGATCATCAGACTATCATATGGCATTGAGTAAAGGTGACTAGAAGTCGGCGGGGTCATTCTGCCCAGACGCAGAAACCTTATTACACAATTTGTGCACTTTGGGGGATGTTGCTCGGCCCCCAGAAGCCTGCTGCTCGACAAAACGCCTTTCGCTTCCTCCTGACTCCTGACTCTGCCTGACTCTGTTTTCACTGCTAGACAGTATTGACTTCCTGCTTGCATCTGCTGAGGCGAGTCCTCGCGCCCCTCGACCATCAACAACGCTGTGACTCCCCGCAGGAAGAAAGAAATTTCCGAGCAGAAGGAAAGGTGACAGGGCTTCAAAGCAACTCGCCACACAAACAAGCCTTAAAGGAGGCTGCAGAAAAATGCACAGGTGCTCAAGCAAGCAGTGTAAGATTAACGGGAAGGCTAACGATGACTGCCATGCCACATTATTCATTCCACGTATTCACAGGCTGCTTCTGGGGCTGCACACTCATGAAGCAATGAGCAAAGACCAATGATGTAACATTGGTTGTGTGCACAGTTTCTAAAAGGAGAACTGTTGTGAATCACCAAGTTATTCACAAGGGGCTGCAGTAAAGAGGTACGGTTCTAGGCTAATTTGGCTAATAAGTGGCTAATCTGCCAATGCTAACCACAATAACTCGGTAATAAGTTACTGTTTCCTGGACATGTTCTGGTGCTGAATTTCTTGTGCACATTAACTTCATTTAAGCTTCATTTTTTACATTTGCAGTTTTTTGACCTTCCTTGAGGGGTCCCCAATAAACAGCCCTGCAGCATGACTCTTAACAGCCATCCTTTACGAGGAAGCCAAAGTAGAGCAATTCCAGACTTCCAGAAGAGAGATAAGGGGGCGTCACCCACACTGATTTCAGGAACATTTACAATGTTTAGCCTTTAGGATTGCACCCTTGCTCTGTATTACTGCCACTCTACATGACTCTGGTACGCCCACAACTGGAGTACTGTGCTCAGTCTTGGGCCCCTCATTACAGAAAGGATATAGCCAGGTTGGAGTCCATGCAGCATAGGGCCACAAGGTTGGTGGCCGGTTTGCAGGGGATGCCGTATGAGGCGAGACTGAGGGAACCGGGTCTCTTCAGCCTGGAGAAGAGGAGACTCGGAGGGGATCTGTTGGCAACATACAGGCATGTGAGGGGGTGTCACATGGAGGTGGGTAGAGACCTGTTCTCCCCTGCAGAGGAAGGCAGAACGGAGCAAAGCTCAGGGAGCCAAGGTTTCGTTTGGATGCCAGGAAGCACTTCCTGACAGTCGGGACCCCGAGGGTGTGGAATGGGCTTCCTCGGGAGGTGGTGGAGGCCCCATCGGTGTGGGTGCTCAAGGATGGGCTGGCCATGCACATGGTGGGCATGTCGTGAGCGGAGCCGGCTGGTGCCGGGGTCAGACTAGATGGCCCGGGAGGCCCCTTCTGACTCGCTCTGCTTCCGTGTTTCTAACTCCCCCTCACCCCACTGCTCCGTTTGCTCTCTCTACTATGCAGGGACATGGGATCAGCTAAGGAATCTCTTCATCCCTTCTGTTCCAGTGCAGTTGCTTAGGTGCCTTCTGGTCTCTTTGCCAAGGCCTTCACAGGTAAGTGGCCAAACTGGAGAGCCTCCACACGGAGAGAGCTCCAAATCTCCTGCAGAGATGCACGAACCTTACCTAGTTTCACTTGCAACGGGGATGGTTTGTAATTCATAGCTACAGACTCTCCCTCCCTCGTGTCGCAGTCTCTGTCAGAGATGGAGGCTGCCGTTGGGTCCTGTGAAAGAGAAATAAAACCATCAGGCATGTTTGGACAAGGGCATCTGTCACACCACTTAAGATTTCCCCGTCCTCTAAATCACAGCTGGGGCAGCTCCTGGGCACCTGTGTTTGGTGGGGCAGGAAAACCAAGCTTGATTCATATTCTGGAGATGGGAGTTAAGTACATCTTACGTTCAATGTCCACGAGGGATAACCCAGGCAACGCCAAACAGAGCACCAGAGGCTCAGCAGTAGTTTTGCACTGTGGGTCAGGAGGTGAAAGGCAGCCCGTGCTGGCCAATGCTAAACCCATTAACCTGGGAACGCAGGTGCAGCTTGTACAGGCTGCTCTGGTATTTTTGCTTTCGTTCCTAGGAAACAACTTCTAGACTGAATGGACTGATGTTGCTGTTAAGCCAGGAAGGCGATGACTTAGTGAGCAACCAACATGCATAGCCAGCATTGGGCTCGAGCTACCTGGAACGTCTCCTGTGCAAAACCCACTAAAATGAACGGCCACACTGTAGCCGCTAAGGCAGATTTAAAAAAAAAAATCTTATGTTTAAGACTCTTTCAGCTCCAAAATTATCTTGAAGGGTGGAGAGGCAGCATTCATTCCCTTAGGCCAACTGCACAAAGTCTTGGGGGTTGTGAATTGCCTGAAAATCCTCTAAAACATGCTGGCAATTCACACAATCCCATTGCTAATTAAGTGCTTAAGAACTTGCAGAGCTAAAGGCAACTCTGACATTGAGCTTAATTCCATACAAACATGTGAAGGGATCCCTACCTTCAAAAGCTTGGTCTGACAGGGGAAAGTTTCCCCATGATTTGGATCTGGGATAATCATGCAAAACACAGACTGTTTGTTTTTTAATTCCTGGACTGATTTTCCATTCCTTCACCTGCTCCCTTCCTGCATTCAAAATTCCTCTATGTGATGTTGCAATACCTCAGAGAATGGGCTTTGTAACTGGCTCAAACAACCCACTGCTATAGCTTCATACAGAACGACAATGATCCCAATTTCAAAACTCAGCTACAACCTAAGGGTTCTCTTGCTGGGTTGTCCATGGTGTATAACTGCAAAGTTAATCCACAAGTCTGATTTCACACATAACAAACCAGGATTCAACAACTCATTTGCAGGGTTGTTGTTATATGCGACCCAGAGCATAACAGTTCCTGCACTGATGTCTAATTCATAATAGTTCCGGTATACCGCTAAAGCAGTGGTGATGCATGGGTACCCCAAATTAGGACCATCATTGGAATACGAAGTACTTCCTGACACTTAGGTCCCCAAGGGTACGAAATGGGCTTCCGTGGCAGATGGTTGACACCCCACTGGCGAGGGTGCTCAAGGACAGGCTGGACATGCACATGGTGGGCATGTCATGAGCAGAGCCGGCTGCAGTCAGGGGTCAGACTAGATGGCCCGGGAGATCCCATCAGACTTGCTCTGGTTCCATGTTTCTAAGAAGCACCTGCTCTCCTCTAATCCAAAACAAGAGGGAAAACTTCCGAGATTTATTGTTCCTGTCCAAGCATACATTTTATCCTAGAAATACATTACTAAGAATAGTTCATTAGCTGGACGGCACTGTAAAAGCTTGTGCAAGGAAATAGTCTTGAGGAGGAGGAGGAGGACTGGCTAAGGGAAAATAGGACAGAAAATAGTGATAATCAGATATGATAGAGGAGATCCACAATTCATATTCCTACAGATGGGGAAAAAAGCAGCACCTGCCCCGGGGGGTGAGGACAGCGGCTGAACTGGGACCCTAACACTTCTGCACAGGGATTTCAACCCTTCCCGAGTGACCTATCACAGATTAAAATCCCTCTGATGATATTTGTCCCATTGGATAAAAAAGTACTTGGGGAACTGTTCTGACTGGGAAAACCCATGGGAAAAGACCAGACCACTGTTGTACACTGCAGTCCCAAGCTGACTCCCCTCCGGTGCCTGCCATGGAAACTTCTAACATTTATTAATAAATGTATGAGGTGCCTCTTGGACCAAAGAACCTTGCCCCACCTGGAGATTTACAAGAATAGTTCTCATACCCTGTCTAGTTGTGCCAGAAATAGCAAATGCGAGATGATAAGTGCAGATTTATGTAGCTGCGTTGTTCCATTAGAAAAAAGTCACAAAGTCACTGCAGACTAATCACTTAATTAGCATCAACCAAAATGCCATCAAGTAGGGAGCCAGCTTGCAAATTCTCCAGTGCTTATTCAAGCTGGGTATTAATAATTAGAAAGCAGATAGGGTGGAGAAGAGGAAAAATAGCAGGGCAGTTTTTAACTACCCTAAGATGGTGTGTACAAAGCGTTACGAGATTTAGTTGGGCTTAATTATACGAGGTACATTCTCCCATATATATATATATATATATATAGAGAGAGAGAGAGAGAGAGAGAGAGAGAGAGAGAGAGAGAGAGAGAGTCACTTGGATCACTGATCAGAACACACTGAGTTCTGGCTAGCAAATGTAGGGACCTACTGCTTTTGAACCACTGCAGTTCTTCAAAATCCGGCAGCATGTGTCCCCGTAAGTCACGGGGGACAGGCCTTGGAGGGATTCACCATTAACAGCTTCCAGTGCTTAGACATCGGGTCTTCATAATCAGAAAAGCGCTGAGGCATAGGCACGAGTACTTAAGCTGCCAGCTCCATAGGAACATAATTTTTAGGGTTCTTCTCTAGACAGTAACTCCCTCCTCTTTCAAGTTTTAACACTGCAAATGTTTTAAGCTTATATATTTCTAGGGCGGATTCCCTTTAGGGATCGTCACTGCACACTACTAAGCTGCCAATCCTGCAACTAAAGGTGAGTGCAAGATGGCAGGAACAGCTACAGAACATCAAAAGGGGACAGAATGGATTGAACAGGCTGCGTGCAATGTAAAAACAGCAAACTGCGGACATAGATGACCAGCTCCCATTTAAATGTCTTCTGCATTATAATCCAGAGTCTGAAACATTTGCAGATCTATTTTTATTACAACATTTTATGTAACAGCAGGTAGAAATACAGGAACTGTCATAATGTTTCTGTAATTCTGAGAGTCAAGGTCGCATAGTGGTTAAAATGTAGGACTGAGAACCTGGGAGATTCAGTTCCAGTCCCTGCTTGACCATGAAGCTCATGGGGTGATTCGGGGTCAGCCGTGAACTCTCCGCTTAACCTATCTTGTAAGGCTGTTGTAAGGGTAAAATGGACAGTAGGAAGAGGGTTAAATTACCTTTGGGCCTTGCAAGGGGAAAAAAGGTAGGCCAGAAATATAATAAATAACTATAAAACAGAAAATAGGATGAGCACCCCTAAATGATGAAAACTGGAAATTTAAAGTCCTATACTATAGCATATGGTACCCTGCAGATTTGTGCCTTTTACTTTTCCACATCTGGTTGTGTTGCAACTCGGAACTGAAAAGGATCCACTTGGCATTCACAAGGTGCTCAGCTTCTGTGATGGTGCAAAATATTTTTTATTGTGGCACGAAAGTGAAGCAAACAAAACGAACTGGCACTTGCTGGTTGCGTAAGCGCCCATCCCTTCGCCGCGGCACGCCTCAGGAACGTCTCTCTAGAAGCCAGCTTCGACAGCTGAGTGGAGTCCCCCTGTCAGCAATCCCAATGCCACATGATCGGAGCTTCAAAACACCTGTTTGTGGAAAGTCTCTTGGAGGGCATGTTTAAACAAACAGCATCATGTCGACCAAGTAGCCTTTGAAACAACTCTGAGTTTAACTTGTGCAGAAGCGCCCGCCATGATGGGGTGATAAAAGAGAATACCCCAAACAGCAGCATGAGCATCCCCCAGAGCACTGCTAAAGGCCAGGGAGGACAAGAGCATCAGAGTCCAACCTCACCTTTCCATCCCCACATGCTTGTCCACTGCTGCTTATGGGGATGGAAAGGCTGCGCAGGCCAGGAATGGAATTCCCTGCATTGCATTTCTCTGGCATCAATATGTTCCAGCACAGTCCGATGTACGTGAACCTAAAGGTTAATTGAGAGCACCAGAAAAACCAAACCACCAAGGAGTGACTCTTTCTAGATTCTGTCGAAAGAGCTATTCAGTAAGCCATTCTGATGAGTCACAAGCAATGGGGCAGGATGCAAGAAATGGAAGCCAATTTGGTTTAAACAAAAACCCATTACTGAAAACTCATAGTTGAAAACAGGAATCTCTAGGAATTGATACCATAAAGCCTCAAAAAGATGAAACAGATGAATGCGCTGTTTGACTTTGCGGCTTCAGAACTGAGGAAGCTGATCTGAAGAGGATTCGTCTGTTCTTCCAATTTTCCTGTTGCTCTCTCCTATCTTTGATGCCTAGACCCTACCTAGAAAATTGTGGCTCAACTCAAGGCACAGAATATTCTGCTCTGTCCTACAACCATGTCAATAATGCAATGATATATTCTTTATTTTTTTCTTTACAACAATATTTAAAAGCTATTTTTCTGAGTACGGTTCACTCCACACTGAAGTTACTAGAAAAAAAAAATCACTATCCTCAGAATTAAACTGGGCAGAGCACAAGGCACCTGCTGTCCAGCCCCATTTTTCTTCTACACTGACTAAGGACAAGAATTAAAGTATAATTAAGGAGAATTTAAAAATGGGAAAAAGAGGCAAGAGCCTCTGTAATCCCAGTGCTTATTCCTCCACTCCATTTTCATCATGTCGCTACCAAGTTACTGCGAAGGTGCCAGGGCCCCCGAAGCCACGCTATAGATGCACCACTTTCTATCCTGTCCTATCAGTGACCACCTGAAAATTCCCCCAGCGTGTCGTGCCACGCCATCTCGCCTCTACCTGAAGGACGGAGGAAGCAGGGATGCAAGGCAGGGCACAGTACGCAGTAACCTCCCCGCACCCAGGTCCAGGCCAGCCTTCTGCAACGGGGCGCCCTCCAGACGTTTGGGAACTGGGATCGCCACCCTTCCGAGATGGTGCCGGGAAGGCTAGTCTAGATCAGGATTGCGGCGCCTGCCACC